CACACTTTGTGCCCTTACTGTACATTGTTCTCATCATCTGGAAACCATTAAACGCAATGTTTCCTCTTATCAGCCCCAATTTTGCCTTTGGTCACCGTTCAATACCCTGCCTCCAGCGCCCCCTAGATCTATTCATCGCCCAGAAGGGGGCGTTATTGCTTACTTTGAGAAACGCTGAGCTAAAATAAAAGTCAATGTGTTAGAAATATTCAAGTTGTGACCTTCAATAAAAAATAAAAAATATATAAAATGTCAACATTTTATATATATTCCATCGAATTTTTATATATAGAATTTGTCTGCCGTCCCCCTCTATTACCTCTAAATTTCCTTAACGCTCCCCAATTCTCTTTGAGCCTTCTACTGCCCCCCCTGAAAGCCTCCAGCGCCCACAAGGGGGCGTTATCGCCCACTTTGAGAAACGCTGCTATGGAATGACACTGCTGCTGCTAGAATGCCTACTAGGGGGTGTCCTGGACTACTAGTATGTAATAATGCAGCAATTTTGTAAATAGTAATTTTAATTTTTATGAATGGTATTAACATGAAAACATTCTAAAATATCTACTATTACATACACAAGTTATTATTCAAGCTAAACTTGTAATAATATTACATTGTATTTTTCATTATCATTTTACACATGAATTCTAAATTTTCTTTTGTGTACTGCTCAGTTGTTTGTCTTCCTTTAATTGTTCTTTTATTTAATTTTTTAAACTATACAAATTTACTTTCTTATCTTGGTATAACAATCATGTAAGCATGATTTTGTTCATCAATTCAATAAAAAAAATGTATGAATGTATATGTATAGGCCTGTAAAGTCAAAATTGGCTTTACTTAGGAATATCAAGTTTTTCTATGATTTCTTGGATGTATGTCTGTATGACTTTCATTCAGGGCTGTAGAGTCGCGTAAAAATCTACTGACTCCGACTCTGACCAGGGGCGGACTTGTTACCGAAAGAGACCCAGAAATTCTGATGTCATCATGTGGCCTCAGAATAAAAGATTCAGTAAATAGAGTTCTAATAAAGGTAAAGCTAGAAACTTTTTATTCCAAAGCTAAAAGACTTCTCTAAGTAATATATAAATATGTGTTTGATAATTTTTACTTTTCCGGCTGTTATATACGACAGAGGGAAAGTGTAGTGCTCGGTCAAAAAAATGACCCCTCCCAAATTTTACATTTTTGGACTCGGGGCACCTTGAAATTTTAAGATATACAAAAGATTCAAGGTTTTTTTTATATGTGTGGATGTTAGACTGTGTGTGGGGGCATGATTTTGTTCACCCTGTTTGAAGCCTAATAATTTCTGTGGTCAGAGTGGTCAGAATCGAAGTCAGATGGTTTAACATTGGAGTTAGTTATTAAGTGTCAAATTGGTTGAACTAAATTGTGTCCCATATACATTCTAACATCTTAGGCGAGAACATCTTAACGGGTTTTACTGTATTATTATAAAATGGCAAAAAAGCTTACTCTGAGAGTAGAGATGAGTTTTATTTTATTTTTTAAAATTTTGAACGCTAATATCGAGTAAAATATTCATTAAGAGATATGACACATGACCACTTTTAGGTCTTCACCCTGTCGACCTTTAATTAAGAACCAAAATTTAATAGTATTAATATCTCAAAACAGAAAATAAACAAATTAAACAAATTAGACACCAACACACACATGCATGCTAATTTTTTCCCTTTATTGACTTTTTTGAGGTATTCAGGAGGTCTCCAAACGTGTAGATTTGCAAAAAAAAACTTGGAGGGTCAAATTTGACACGATTACAATACTTTTCCATTTTATATATATAAAAAGTGGTAAGTAGAAAGGAGTCTGAGTCGGCGGATTTTTTGACGACTCCGACTCCGGCTAAAACACCAAAACTCCACGACTCTGACTCCGACTCCACAGCCCTGCTTTCATTATAATTGCCATGCTTTTGCAATGCATCTCATGCACAAACTCTACCACCTGTTGGTCATTTTTTTCAAAACAACCAAATTTAGGCCCATGAAGCTATTTACATATCTGATGAAACTGTTTCAGTAAGGACTTTATTTTCTTGAGTCGCATATGTTTTTCTCAGACACACTGAGCATAAGGACAACCATGCTATTGTTACTATCCACTTCCTTCTCAGCAACTACAACTAATTATATCAACACACCTGAATTATTTGCAGAGCATAAATTGTTTTATTTCTCAAACTTTTTCAACCTACTTAATATAGGCCATCCTCAGGCTTACGATAAACCGTTCCAAAATGGAACACATTGTTTTTCAAATATGTTTCATTTCAAGTTTAAAAGATTTTAATTTACAATAATTGTGTATATTAAATAAATCATAAAGTAAATATAATAATTAAATGCAGTAGAGCGTCGATTATCCGAATGCCGATCAACCAAAGCGTTCCAGTCAGACTGTGTCATGCTGAATTGAATATTTTTGATACTAGATTAATTTCTAAAGTATAATTTTTTTGTTTTTATATTTTTCAATATATTTATTTTGTTTGTACAAAATAAAAAAATAATTTTTAATGATACAATAGCCATGATTATTATTATAAAATATTTTGTTATGCTTAACATCAACGAAAATTTAATGCAAAACAACACGCAATGGAGAAAAATTTAAACATGGGATATACTAATATATTATATCAATAATGTATTTTTTTGTACATAATCAGTTATCCGAAAAATCGGTTTTCCGAACAACCTGAGTTCCCAATTGATTCAGATAATTAACGCTCTACTGTAACAATAAAAATAATATAAATAAATAAAACATGTAAAACAATGACTAAGTACTGTATAACTATTACAAGCTTTAAGGTTTTTAAGTACCATGCTTTTTTTTTTATCATACTTCCACGCTGTTGGAAGCACATTAGCATCCTTGGCATTTAGGCAATGGTTTTTCATTTTACTTTTGTGTATTTCCATCTTTTCCATCTCCAACGCAATGGATGGGGAATGAACCATTTTAATGACTTTTACTTCATTCCATTTTACAATCGCTCCTTCTGTCTGTACCATAATTGCTAATATTGTGTTGTTGTGCCCTTTATCAACGTTGTATTTGTGTTCTCGCAGACATGTCGCCAGGTTTCTTCTGGTTACACCCACATAATCCTTTGCAACTCCTAACTGTTGGTTTTCAAGTGGCATTTTATAAACTCTCGCTTTCTCTTCCATTTTTATGCAATCTTTATCATTCCTTAGTAAACTGTAGATATTGGGTTAAAACTAAAAAATTAGAACAAAAAAAACTATACCAATCTCCATTTTTTTGGACATTGATATAAGATTTAAACAACGAAATGTACAAACAGCAATGTATTTAAAACCCACGTATGCTCCTCTCTGTATACCATCTTGGTCCAATGACCCATATAAATATAAATTATCAGCTTTTTTTAGACTGTAACAACGTTTAGGACTGCCTCAAGGAGATCAGTAGAATTAACTCTCTTAAGACCACTGACCACGCCCTTCATCTTGTTTACCGAGGGCAATATAGGTCAGTCAAGGTCAGTCAGGTGATGTTATTTAAAAAATTTGCCAAAAATCAAATTATTGTTATATTTATATGAAAAAAATCACATACATTTATTAATATCTTCAGCTATAAATATGATATTTT